TAACTTCATCACCTCCTACATCACTATTGGAAAGTACTGACAGTTCTCCATCAAACTTTTCCAGGGCTTTTGAAGCAGAAAAACGTTGTGACGGGGGGGGAACCTGATGGGTTATCAGCCATTTTTCCGTTGCTATGCGTGTAAATTAATTCGAGCAACATAGGGCGGGTAAAAAAAACAAGAAAAAATGCCAAAAAAACAACAGAATAAAACACAAAAGCCGCTAAATTCCTTCACTGGTTGACTGATGTATGGTAAGCACAGCAGTTAAAAACATGAAACGAAAAGGTTGAGTCAAATTGTGGAAGGGAAAGGGAAAGAAAAGCGCGAGCCGATAATTCGGCTTTTGGCCACGAACTAGGAGGTTATGGAGCCGATAGATCGGCCCATGGTAGTCAAAGAGTTAAAGTACACAGGCTCTGAGCGCTTTACAATACAATTCTTTGTACAACAATAACATAAAACGTTGTGTTCTGACTAAAAGAATATCACTCCTAATTTTCATCTTACTAATTTAAAAACGAAAATGACTTCAGCTGACATTTGAATGAATCAAAAGATTTGATCTCTCTTAAAGTACTTGGCAAAGCATTCGAGATCTTTGGGCCTTGATATTCAAAGGTACAGGAGCTGAAGTTTGTTCTGATACGTCTATTGCTTAGTTTCCACTTTCTTTCCTTGACACGGAAGAACCTGGCTTCTGCCAGAACTATTAGGATAGCAGCAGACTCAGAGGAGAGCAAGTCGTATTGTGTATTTATGTATGTATATGTGTATGTATTTAAGTATGTATATATGTATAATTAAGTATTTAAGCACGTATGTATGTTTGCGTTTGTAAACCAAATTGCTCTTTTGAGATCAATAAAAATGTTTTTCTGGTTGTTTTTTTTGCATATGAGGCTTTGTGAATTAGAAATGCTAAAGCAAGAGAAAAACCTCTAAGCTGACCACATCAATTCGTGAAAATGAAGCTTTTAAATGCTTTTTAGTGATTGTAATACCTCTAATCTTCAGCACTTATGTGACCTAATTGCGTTGCAAGTGTCGTAAAACTCTTTCTAAAATAAAACAAAACAAAAATGAAGTATTCATGATAATGTGGGAGATTACACTTTAGATAGTCAGTTGATTCTGTAATTCAGCAACTTCAGCCTTTCAAAACTACAGGTCACACTTAATGAAATACTTGACTTGTCATGGCTCATCTTCTGTTTTTAGGGAGCTTTTAAAGTACTGTATGTTGCGTATCAATGGTGTTATCTTCTAACCATTCAGCTGGTTTCTTGAAAATCTTTCAATTGGGAAAAGAGACCATCTGATTCAAATGATGAGAAAAAAACAAAAATTGAAGAGTTAGCCTATTGTACACCATAAATATGGTTGTTTTTTTTATCTACAACTCACAAATTAAGTCAGTTAAACAAAGAATTTTGCACAATATGTTCATTTTATCCACAGCTGTTAGATAAAAGCAGAAGAATGAGGAATCTTTATGTTAGATCTTTATCTTTTCCTTAACTTTCAGATAGAAGCTGTATTACAA